TAATGATCGATTTATAAGAAGCTTCTTTGCTGTACCCAATGTACAAGCGATTATAACAGAAAATGGCACAAAATACATAACTACCAGATGAATCTATATAAAAACAAAATCAACAAACAATATAGTTTGATATAATTTTCAGTTTCATACATACCCATGGATATTGAATGGAAAAGAAATTATTAAGAGCAGTATTCAAAGTATAATAACAAACAACAGCTGTTTCATATGTTCTTGTACTATTATTATATGTTGAATATGAAAAACCTAATCCAAATAAAAATCCATTTAATGCAAATAAACTAACCAAAATAATCGTACAGATCATTAATGCAACAGGTACACGAGCTATGCGTCTTTTATACCATTTACTTCTTAATAAGCATGCTCGATCAAGTTCCACAAATGTAAGAAACATGGCTGATGTATGTAAAGTATAAAAAGGGAAAAATTGACTCAATTTACACATAATCAATGAGTTGCCCCATATCTGTTGTTGTCCGTTTGTAAATGAATAGAATGAATTTGATAAGTTCCATTGATAAAGTGATATGGTATCCATTAGACATAAAAATATCAAATAAATATTTGTTGATGCTCGACGATTTTCTCGATTTAATAAAACAACAACAGATATAAGATTACCAATAGTCCCAATCACAATAAGCCATATAGGGATAATACCACTTATAACTAACTCAACTGTTTCATAAACTGGTCCGTCATACTGTCTAGTCCAAGAAGCCATTTAATATTTATTTATGTATTCACTTTAGAATATATACGTCAGACAGATGTCTTGAAATGACTACTATATTTAAATATGACTTTTGTTTTTATTTTTCTAGTTTCTTTACTATATTTTTTCTACTCATAGTTTCACCTCATACAATCTTCTCTTTTTCTCGACAAAAAAATAACAACGGAAAAAGAAAGAAATCTTTTGTATAGGTGAGATTAAAACTGACTTATTTTGTCTCAATCTTCCATAGGAATTAGACTAGACGTCGTTTCATATTTTTAGAACTAATCAAAGATTGAAGTAATGATTATTTTTACAAGTATCATTCATTTAATTTAAGAAACGACAGATGAAAATTGCTAGTATGAGTCTATTTCTAATTGTTTTTTGTCATTTAATATTTATATTATTTGAAAAGAATAAAAGACTGAAATAATAACTTGTTGTAACTCTTCCTAATTCTATTGTTGCTATTGACTAAATTTAGAGAATTTGAATTTTTTTGTTCATTATCCTAAAGAGTCTATTATGTGAGATTTCATTTCCGTCTAAATAACATTGTTATTCAACAGAAACAAGTGTGTGCATGTGTGAAAAATGTTTCTACATGATTAAAAACTATTTATGCTTGAGTACATGAACATTATACAGATTGATGTATGACTAAATAGAATAATATTCATCAATGTCGTCCAAATCTAATCTATGTTTTTTGTTTTAATTACATTTTTCAGTGTTTGTACTGAATAACTGTAGAAATTTTAAGTGCAACTAAGAATTTCAAGAAAAAATCAATGTGATAAGATGTTTTCTACAATATAAATTAAACTAATATACAATTAATTAGTTTATTCTAAGTAGAAATTGAGCCGAAAGTCCGGGTTGTCGTTTGAAGAAACTGATTTTATTTCAAGTATCCACTTTGATGGATGAGTTTGAAAAAACATTCTGTAGATTGCATGATACTAAATAAAACCTTACACGATTATATAAAAAAATAATGTTTTTAGTAAAACATAAATATCACCTGTTCAATGTCACGATAAGAAAACATCTACGTCTATATGAAAAATGTATACATCATATATGATAGTTAACTAATTGATTGAGAGAAAACTGACAAAACAAAGGTAGTGTGATTATAGTTAGTAGTATATGAACGATAACATCGATAAATTCATGTCATAAAATGACTTTGCTGCAATAAAAATATTTTAATTATAATGTATAAACAAGCATTACTTGAAAGTTTATTCTCTCCGTTATACAATACCGAGTGATTGAATCATATAAAAAGACTTACAACTGATATTATTTTTAGACAAATCATCTAATGATTTTTGTCTGCTTTCAGTAAAATCTATTCAGTAGATACTCAATATTTTTTAATAACATAAAGACATCTTGATGATATCTATAAATATGAAAATAAATTCGAGTTGATGTTCGATGGCTGTCTTTATTATAAATTGATAATCTATTTAGCTTTGTAATGATTTTTATGTGATCTTCAAATATTTTGAATAACTGGTGTATTCTCCTATTATTCTATTAAGCAGCGATATGAATCAAAAACAGGTAATGAAGATATCTATACTAAAAATAGTACAATCACAATATAAATGTAATGAAATATTTGAAGTGAGTATTTAAGTATACTTGAAAGCTCAAATCAAGAATTTCGCAGTAGCATAGAGTACACATCTGAATATAAAACACGATAAAAAATAACACTAATGTTTTACAATAATTAGATTAATTTGTGAATCATTAACCTTATGATGTTCCCAGATGTACTTTTTTTTCTTTATCAGTATGGAGTTCTTATTGTTCATAAGTGTTCTTTCAATAAATAATTACTCATCAAATTCAAAACAGTCATTAGCTTAACATAAAGTGAACAAGAAAAATTTATTATGCACTCAGAAATTTGATGCGGAAGCTAAATGCACAGCAGTAGTCGTAGCTTATTGTAAAAATTATGAATGTATCTCATTAATGAATCACGTTCTGTGATCACAACTATGACCAATAGTAAATTCTTAGGAAATCCCTCCGTTTTATTCTCAGTTTGATATGTTGTTTTGCATAATTGAGCGTCTCAAGAATGTACTGTTCCATAAAAAACGTAACACATTGGATTTTTCAGCTACTAATGAGATAAAAAAGTTCATCAAAAATTAAGAATATTTATGTAGTACTATTCAACGTCGTTGCCAACAAACGTTGATTAGTGTGAATGATTCAAAGTGACACTTATTATAATTGCTTATTATCGGATCTACGACATAGCTAACAACATTTTATAGACAGAGAAATGTACCTACAATCTATTTTTAAGTTTATATCAAAATTATTCTTCGTCTATACTAATTGTAATCATTTTATATCAGTACTCTTAACAATGATGATATGTATTCGATTCAATTTCTCTTCACATATCTACTAAGCAACTGAGTCTATATATAAAACAATTTACAAATTGTATTGTAATGGATTTTTATTTTTAACATCACTCTCGATAGAATAATACAACATGTAAATATACATACTCATTCTATACCTAATAAAATAAAGCGTTTTACATAAGCAAACAAAAACAATTATGAATATATATGTAGTGGTATTCCAATAGCATGATGTTTAACTGGATCATGAACTATTGTCATTTGATCGAGATGTTCATGATTATTGTTCTTCTGTGGAACTATTCGACCATCCAACCTTCTGCAGCATGTTAATGTTAAACGACGAATATCTCGTCGAAATCCATGAACAGATATATAAAGAAAAAATATATTCAATGCATTTCTTGTATACATCAGTAGATTTGTAATAAGAAATATTGTATCGGTATAATCATGTCCAATGATGAGATCTGCAAAAAGTGAAAAACAAAGACGATTGGGTAAAGTAGAAATAATATAAGTTAAACACATCGACAAAAGCATGATCGAAATATGACGATTACGATGAGCACTATTGATTAATTGTTGATTAGTTGATGTTTGTTTAACAATCAACTTTTTCATAGTCATTATTGTACATATAAACATTAGAATAAATGGAACAATATACATGATTACAAGATGAATCTGAAAAAAAACAAATCAAATTTTATCTTATATTTTTTCTTGTTTATCCTTACCCATGGATATTGAATAGAAAAGAAATCATTAAGTCCAGTATTTAGTGAATAATAACATGCTATAACTGATATTTGTGTTTGAGTATTATTATCATATGTAGTATATTCAAATCCTAATGCAAATAGAAATCCATTGAGAGCAAATAAAATGAACAGAACAAGAATGCAAAATATAAGTGCAATATGTGGTCGAGCTATTTTTTGTTTGTATGATCTACTCCATAAAAGGCATGCTCGATCAAGTGAAACTAAAGTAATAAACATAGCTGATGTATGTAGTGTATAGAAAGATAAGAATTGCTCCCATTTGCAAAGAAATAAGGATTGATTTGAAATATTTTGTGTGCCAACAGTAAATTCATATACTGCATCACCTAAATTCCATTGATAAAGGGAAAGTGTATCCATTATACAAAGAAATATTAAATAAACGTTCGTTGATGTTTGACGATTGTCTTTTTTCAGAAGAATCAAGACACTTAAAAGATTACCGACAGTACCAATTACAATTAAACCAATCGGAGCAATACCACTGATAATATATTCCGCAATCTCATAAGGCTGTGAATTGACTGTTCTAGCCCAAGAAGCCATTGAATATATTTTATTTTGAATAGAACTTATTTATGAAGCAAAGAAACTAAATGAAACATGTTATATACTTTTTCAAAGTATTTTTTTTAATCACGTACGGAGTTTATTTTTTTTTAATCGAGGCATTACTATTGTTCATCAACATTTTCTGTCATTAATCATGCATAGTAGAGAAACTTAATTGAAAAGAAGGAACTAAACTTCATGGGTCGGTTATTACTATATCATATTTATCTCTATTATTCTTTCATGTAGCACAGTTGAATATATAAATTTCTATGACTAGTAATACATTGAATTATTCTATAATGAATATAAACGAGGTCTGTCTACCAAGATTTTTCTTCAATTAGGAATTTATCTTAAATTGACAGTAATACGATAAAACAATTGATCGAATATTTTTATTATTAAAGAATTAATACTCTTATAAATGGATCAATATATACTGAATTTAAATTAAAAATCTCAACTTCCAATGCCATCTGTACACATTTTTGTTTGTACAAACGATCGAGTGAATGACATCGGCATGGAAACAATAAAAAAATGGTTATTGACGACTTGATGGAGAATTTTTTATTTTTCTGTTATATTTGACGAGTAAAAAATTGAATGAAATTTGACATCATATACATAATTAATGACTGCCTTTGCTCGTCCTTCCTTAATCAACGATCGTTATTCAGTTATTGCCGAGACTAGTGTATATACATATGATGATGATCTGGTTAATTATGGTGAATTTTTACAGTATACTCATTTTTTTTAAATATAAAAATTTAATTAATTACATAAATTATATTTAGAAATCATGGTCGGTATATGACAAAAGGTGGTTATGTTGATTCCTCACGACGTATCCGTTCACTCTATCGACAACAAGGTGATTTACAAACATTAAAACATGATACTTCAGCAGAAAATAATTTATTACCTTCACTTGGTAAACCTTCAAAATCAGCACCACCAGCAACCATAAACACAAAGAAACTAAAACCACTACATGGAGATGAATTATCATCTTTTGAATCGATTTCAGAATATCATAAAAATAAAGCAAAAGAACATGATCGACAGATGAAACAAATTAAAGTTAGTTTTAATTATTTTAATATATTCATCATTGATTTTATTTTAATTTCAGAGCGAAATGATTAGAGCAAAACAAAGAGAGCGAGAAATAAAACGTACAGAGGGCGATATTAAAAAACAACAACAACATTTACGTCAATCACTTAGAAAACTTGATGTTGGTAAGTATCAAATGAAAATTTTGCCTTACAATATCTATTCAATATAGAGACAACAAGTAAACGTTATAAAGCTGAAAAAAGTTTATCAAAAAATCTTGAAGAAAAAGATCAAATTGAAAGAGAACGGATGAAAACTCGAGAAAAAGTAAATTTTATAATTGATGGAATATGTATACACTAAATTTCCTATTCAACTAGCAAACAAAAGAACGAGCGGATCATGCAATTGATTCATTACAAGCAGGTAAAGATAAAGATCGTCGTAATTTATTAGTTTGTAATGATTTGGCTCATCAATATCGATCAAAAACAAATCAACTTGATGTCAAACATAATCAATTAGATCAAATTCAATCAGAATATGAACAGAGAATTCATCAAAAAGAGGTTTGATTATTTAAGAAAATGTTGTGGTTTATATGGATTTACTTTTTTTTGCTCTAGTTGGAAGAAAATCGACTTAAAAAAGAATTAGCTGAAATAGCATTAGCACTTAATTTAGAAGCTCAAAAGGCGAAAGTTGATATGAATGATTTTCTAACGTATTATCTATTTTTAATATGATCATTTCATGTAAAATATTATTCGTCTTATAGCATAATCGATCATGAACGAACACAAGCGACCAAATATGATTTTGGACAACAACAAAAGTTTGATTATAAACAGAAGTAAATCTTAGATTAATTATTGAATGAATTAATTTTATGCCTTGTAGTAAAACAAATTTGCAGGCTAAAAGTTACGATTTGGATAAACGTCGTCTTTCAGGTGATGCAGCAACTCGTCGTTCAATGCTTGAACTTAGACAACGTGAAGGTATATAAACATTTCTCTATTATTTTGAATTTTCTCTTTGTTAATTACTCTTAGCACTTGGCCGAATTAGTGATACTAAGAATCGATTAGATTCAATCCAGAATAAACAACGACAACTCAATGCAAATGCATCTAACGCTGAACAAGATCGACGTACAAGTCAATTAGCGGCCAAAATGAATGTATGCTTGTTTTTCTAATAAAACATAAAATACATCAATTGCTTTGATTAATTTAGGAAGTGGATAAACGTCGATCGCATTTAATGAATCAATATATACGTGATAAAACTGAAAAAAGTGGTAAATATGGAACTGATGGAACAAATACTAAAATTAAAATATATCCTACTGATCCTGAAACTAGACAACATGAAGATCGTGTACGACATTTACAAGTAAAAAATTTCACGAAATTGTTTTTATTATATTCTAATTTATTTTTTATTTTTTTTATATAGAAAACTCTTAATAAAAATAAGGAAATTGAATTTGAATTACGTAAATCTGTAAAAGAAGCAGAATTTCAACGACGTAAAAAAGAACAAGATATACAAAAATTACGAAATGATTTAATACGTAAAAAACATGAAGATACTGTAAAAGTTCGTCAAGCTATTGCTAAATCTGAACAACAAGAAAGACAAATAGAACGAAATTTAACTAAAGAAAATACAAAATTAGATAAAGTAAAATATATAATAAATAACGGAAGAAAAGAAAAGTATTTTTATTCTTTTATTTTAGTTACAAACACAAAAAGGAAATAAATATTTACGTTTAACACGACAACAAGAACACATTCGTGAAAGTAAATCATTGTTGGATTCTCATGAACGTGAACATAAACGTCTCTTACGAGCAGAAACTCAATCACATTCGTCGCAATCACTAAATAATATATAAAGATTGATCTTAATGACTTTTATCGGCCGGTGTTTTGCCACGAACTATTTCTTATGCCTTTTATTTCCTTCATATAATATATATTTTTTTTCAAAGATTTAATATTAATTTGTTCAAGTTGTTGTTGAAGGACGATATCAGTTAATCGTTAAATCTACTCTAATATCATGATAAATTCTAGATTTTCGAATATATATTTCATCTAATGTCGTTAATAAGAAGGGTGATTTAAATTTCTAGTCAAAAATTCAAACATTTCGTAGTTCTGATGATAAATGCATATAATTGATTGTTATATTAAAAAAAAGGTGAACATCTGTTCATATCATAAATATACTTCCAGTTTGTATAAATGTTTGATTTAAAAAATTTTCTATCCAGATGTCAGAAATTTGTTTCTATAAAGTTATTAAACACGCTTTTTTCCGCTGTAGTATGAGTACGACCTCTTTTGATGTGTTATTTATCATTGGTTATTATATGTCAACAAATACTACTCCGTAGAGATCAAAACTATCATCAATTAATATGAGTGAGTTTGCCATTATGAAAAGTGTAAAGTTAGATATTTATTGACTGATAAAATTCACTCTCAATGACATTGTCATTTGTTTGAGGCATAGTTATATATCATCATTTTATATATTTTAGACTTCCTTCATATACATACATGAGTACATCTTATTTAACGAAAGGCGCTTTAGGCGCAGGTGTTGGCTTATTTATCTATGCTGGTATGTATTTAATTAACTTTTAGAAAAAGAATTTAATAATTTAATTTATTTAGGGTTAACATATATGTTAACAAATAATGGTTTTCGTTTTGATATTGGTTGGTTTCTTTTATCTATTTCACCTTATCAATGGGCATTGGTTGGCATTGCATTAGCCGTGTCACTTTCTGTTCTTGGAGCAGCTTTGTAATTAAATCTAATTTTAATTAGTAAAAGAATACATATTTTTTTTGTTATTCTAGAGGAATTTTTGCAACTGGTGTTAGTATAATAGGTGGCGGTGTTAAAGCACCACGTATTCGAACAAAAAATCTTATTTCAATTATTATGTGCGAAGCTGTTGCTATTTATGGACTTATCATGGGTATTGTTATATCTGGTTCAATTACTGTAAGAAAATGTAAAGTTATTTTCTGATTTATTCATTTTTATTCATTTTTAGAGTTATCAAACAACTCGACCTGAAGAATTAGCTCTTAAATATCGTGCAGGTTATAAATTATTTGGCGCTGGTTTAACTGTTGGCTTATGTAATTTATTTTGTGGTGTATGCGTTGGTCTTGTTGGTTCAGGTGCAGCTTTAGCTGATGCTCAGAATTCATCATTATTCGTTCGTATTCTTATTATTGAAATTTTTGCTAGTGCAATCGGTCTTTTCGGTCTTATTGTTTCTATATTACAGGTAGAAAATATCTTGTATAATTATTTCATATTCTTCAATATTATTTTATTTTTTTAGTCAAATGGAGCAAGTTTATCCGACTAATTTATTGGCAAAGAATTCGCATTTTATGAACCTTATTCATTCCGACACCTAATGATCATTGTCTTTATTTCCATTATTTTTTGTTCTCTCGTAATATTGTCGTTCTATATGTGTATAGTTATTTATTTTATGGAAAAACAGTGCATTTTGTCATTCATCATTATCTTTTCCTAGTATTAAAAAAAACGAAACAAAAAAAAAACAAAAATTGATTTAATTTCAATATTCTATTTGTTTTATATCAATCGGATTTTTTTTGATAAACAAATAGAAATTATTGTCTATGTTAATAATGAGAATAAGAATTGTAACAACAACAAAGAGCATTGATTTTTTTCTTTGTAAAAATGAGAAAAATAAATATTTAAGATGACAGTAAAAACAAACAAAAAAAGCCGACTACTGTACACGAAATACACACGCATGCTCATTAAAAACGATCAATTAAAATGGAATCGAAAAGTAAAACCACCCTGTCCATTACCAGCACCAAATGGATTAAAACCACCTTGAAATTGATTATGTTGTTGAGCTTGTTCTTCAGCATCCAATGGATCATCACCACCATCAAATTTAGCACGTTTTTCTAAATAGAAATAAAATGATAAACGAAATTCAAAAAACAAAAAATATTAACCTGGATCAGTTAAAACTTCTTTTGCTGCAGCAATATCAATAAACATTTTTTCTGCTTTTTTCTTATCATCACCTTCATATTTATCAGGATGCCATTTAATAGCAAGTTTTCTATAAGCTCTTAAAATTTCAGCTTTATTTGCTGATCTTCGTACACTTAAAATTTTATAATAATCACGTTTCTTTGATTGTTTGATTAATTTTTGTACACGTTTTATTCCATCATGTACACGATTTGAATCTTCTGTTTCATGTGCACGTTGATAATCAGCTAATGCTGCGTCCAATTGTTCATTTAATATATAGGCTTCAGCTCGACTAATTAAAATTTCTGCATCAGATACATGATATGTATCTAAAACTTCTGTACATTTATCAATTGTTTCTTTTGCTGGAGATTTTCCTCTTGACATACACGTACATAACGATGAATGAGCACGATATATAAATGCATGTGATGATGGATCCGATGAAAGTTTAAGAACTTGATTTGCTTTATTAAGACATTCATTCCAATTCGATTGACTTATGGCATCACGTATTGATTCAAGTTGTTTAGCTAATTTTTTAACTTTAGTATAATGTGCATGACATTCTTTATGATCAGCATCTAATTTAAGACATTCACGAATATTTCTAAAAAAAGAAATTAAATAATAATTCAAAAATATGCATATGTATATACGTTAAACTATCGTCAGCTTCACCCATGGAATAGAGTAATTGACTTATTTTGAGAAATGCTTGTGTATTATCTGGTATTAATTTTGCGGTAGCTTTAAGATCATTCACTGCTTTAGGGAAATCACCTGATTTTAAATAACTATCAGCACGTAATTCACGTAATTTAATTGCCCATGGACAATTCTAAAAGTAAAACTTGAATAAAAATAAAATCGAATATAAACAAGATTTCAAACCTCAATAATTGTTGAAAGTAATTCAATAGTTTTAGTATAATCTGCATTTTTATATGAATCATCAGCTTCTTGAGCTGATTGAATTAATTTTTGAGTTAAATCAAATTGATTACGTGCTTCACTATTTGATGCATCGGATGTTAACTAAGACAAAAAAATTTTTTCAAAGAAAAGAATATAAAAATAAATATCTACATACAACATTTTCAAAATCAGTTTTTGCTTCATCGAAATCACCTTGTTTTAATAATAAATTTCCTCGTTGCATACGAGCCTAGAATAAATATTGAAGATTCCAATCAAATAATTAACACTCAAATATACTTACAGCAATAAAATCTGGTTTAAGTTCAATCACTTTACTTAAATCAGGTAATGCTGCTTTAGATTTTCCCATACCCAAATAAACAGCTGCACGTCGAAAATAAGCAACATAATTCTTCGGATCAGCCTCTAATAAAAACAAAAACAAATGAATTTAATTTTTCACTGAACCTATATATTCTATCATACCAATTGCTGAATGGAAATGTGTTAAAGCATCTGCTAATTGCCCTGTAGCTAATAATTTTTTTCCTTTTTCTAAATGATCGTTGACATCTCCATTAGCACCTATCAAAAACAAAAGTAAATGATGATTTCTTTCGAAATTCAAAGAAAAGGTATATAGTTTTAACTTACCAAGTATGAATAAATTTAATAGAAAGGTAAATACAAAAAAATAGAATATAGTAAAAATATATCGAGACATGAATGGCGAGATTTTCTATTGTGGAATGTCAAAATTCATACCATGTTAATCAAAATATATGTAAATCACGGTTTAATATTATTGATAAAAGCGCCGATAAACGTTGAACAAAATGAATGGATTAGAAAAAGCCAATCGTTCAAAGACAAGTGAGACCTTTAAGGATTGTTTTGAACAAATTATTTTTAATTTAAAATCTAAGACGACAAAATTAAATAGATTTAAAAAACTTTTTTTTTGTACATAAAAAAAATATGTTCTTGTAAACTTTATGCGGCCTCTATCGAGAATCGATAAGATATATAAGTTAGACCTTCGTTCGTTTTTGTTTGCATTTTATATTTTATATTTATTCGAATAGAAGCAATATTTCGGTATGATGAGAAACGAATAGAGGTGAATTAACAAATGCACCACACTATTTCTAGTCTTCAAAGTTCCCTGACCGAATATTGTATTTAAAATAAAATTATTTTTAATTATTAATAAATCTCTTTTATAGAAAAAAAATCATTATTATATATTTTTTCTCGTTTCTTTTTTTTTTTGATAACATCAAAGATGAATATTTATAGTCAAGATCAGCACATTAGACGTAGCCAAACTGATGGCAATGCATCGGATGATAGCCTTTTATTAGCGAATGATGGTGTTGATGCTAGAACACCATTGTTATATCGTACTGATAATTCATCAGTAATAAGAGACGAGCTTCTATCAAACCAATCACTTTCACCATCAATTCATTGCCATGTACCAGACGATAAATTTGATTATGGTGCAAGAAATCGTCTTATTCTTGTACTATTTATTTGTATTATTTTTATGATCATTGAAATCGTTGGTATGTTCATGGATTATAACTAAGAAAAAGAAATTAAAAATATCATGTATATGTAGGAGGCGTTCTTTCCAATTCAACAGCTGTTGTAACTGATGCTGCTCACATGGGCATTGATTGTGCTAGTTTTTTAATATCATTAACAGCAATGTATCTTGCAAGAAAACGACCAACAAGAAAACTTTCGTTTGGTTATATTCGAGCAGGTTTATATTTATCTATTAATTTAATTTATTCTTCATTATTTTATTTATTAGAGGTACTTGGTGCTCTTCTAAGTGTATTAACAATTTGGTTAGTTACTGGAGTACTTGTTTATATGGCTATTGAACGTTGTATCTACCGGCAGTTTGAAGTCAAACCACTAGAGATGATTATTGTCGCATCATGTGGCGTTGTATTCAATATCATGTAGGTATGGTCTAGAAATTCATTTTTATTTAAAAACTAACAAATTTTTCTTTTTAATTTGCTTTTCAAGAATGTTTTTTACATTACATGCTAATATGTGTGGTACATCTGTACCTCATCATGGTCACTCTCATGGAGGGCACCATCATGGACATTCACATTCACATAATGACAGTCATGATAGTACAAGTACAATAATTAATACTGAACCAATAGTTGCTGATATTATAGTTGGTCAAGTTGGAGATCAAATTGTAAAACATAAAAAACCAACAACAAATATCAATATTCGAGCAGCAATTATTCATGTTATTGGTGATTTTGTTCAAAGTGTTGGTGTTCTTTGTGCTGCAATATTGATTAAATTTAAGGTATATATTTCTCATTATAAATAAATTTTATTTATTAATATATTCCTCTTTCATTTTTTTCACTAGCCGGAATATAAACTAGCTGATCCTATCTGTACTTTTGTCTTCTCCGTCCTTGTTCTTATTACAACAATAACTATAATGCGTGATATTATCTTGGTTCTTATGGAAGGTAATTTGCACATAAAACTTTATTCATTGAATTTTGTCTAATTATATTATATATTAGGTGTTCCGTCCAATATTAATTATGCACAAGTAGTTGATGATCTTCTTCGAATACCTGGCGTACGAGATGCACATAGTTTACATATATGGTCATTATCATTACAAAGAACAGCTCTCTCCGTTCATATTGCAATTGGTAGATAATATTTAACATTCTATTTTTTTTTAAATACTAGACATATTGTTTATCTTTAGATTCTGATCGTGATTATTTAACAGTTCTAAGTCAAGCTCAAGAAATGCTTCGTCATGAACATTCCATTGCTCGAATGACAATACAAGTCGAACCATATGATGCACATATAATGAGTTCATGTGAAAATTGTCGTCGACCGGTTACTTGAACAAAAAGATATATTTTTTTAATAGAAACCAGACGATATTTTTTTTTTCTTTATTTACGTAGAATATTAACTTTCTTTGACTAATGTGTTATAACTTTTTTCTATTGATGTCAATTATTTATGAATTCAGATGCGATTTAAAACGATAATCGATATATTCTTCTTTCTTTTTTATATTTATTTAAAGCAATAAAGATTAGTGATTTTCCGATAGAAAAATAATTTCTTTTTTTATTATAATCATTGTATGTTAAAAAGAATGTTTTGCCAATGTAATTAAGAGACAATGGTTTCGCAGATACTACAAAAAAAAGATACGAAAATTATTTGTTGACAATTGGAGATTGTTGCAGGCAAAATACTCAAAGTACTCGTACTTCAGTACGCATTCGTCGGTACTCGGACTCGGACTCGTACTCAAGTACGGGTTTATCAGTACCCGTACTCGAGAATAAAATACGTGAAATTTGAAACTTAATAATAACAATAGTTTGGGAAAAGTTTTGTTTTTCACAGATATACTATGGTGTGCAATAGTTTTTAATATAAATCATACGTCTCTCGATTAGAAAACTTATAGCAAAGAGTTGTAAAGTAATGCTAAATAAAGTGCAAGTCTCTTTCTCTTATAGACAGTTATTGTTTACCATCTGATGGTTTAAAGCCTATTCAAGATTAACGTTAATTAGGAGCAAATTAGCTTGAAAACATCTAGCGTGTTTCTTCATCTGAGTATTATAAATATCAACCAAAGTCTACACTTGCGTCAGTATCGCATATAAATAAAATAAATTAAAAATATTTTTCACTGTGAGCTAAATTACAACAACGAAATCTTTCGTAGACAAATATTCATTTTCTAATCAATTAACCCGTATAATGAATTCAGGCGAAACATATCACATAATTAAGTGTGATAAACTTATGTTTATTTTCTTAATTAAAAGTATTGTACTCAATATTCTATATAATCTTCTTTATAAAGACCATCAATAATCTGAAGTCAACTATTTCCAATTATCATCAAATGATATGCACTCATATAATTCTAATATTATCATGACTATATATAAGTTAAGTAACGTTATTATTTGAAGCACAAAACTAAACGTCTCAATCAACAATGAACAATAGTATTAATATATCAACACTATCTTATAATTTGATACAAGTTCAACAAAATATGACGTGGTCAATGATGATATTTCTTATATTTGGTACTATTGGAAATATATGTAATTGTTTTGTATTTCTTCAAAAATCACTTCGATCAAATTCATGTTCACATTATTTATTAATATCATCTATAGCTAATACGTTAGCTTTAATATTTTCTATTCCAACAGGTATTTATTCTGTTGCACAAATAAATCTAACATCATATTCATTAATTTTTTGTAAATTACGTCTTTATATATATCATACATTATTAATGATTTCACGTTATTTAATTATAATTGCATGTATAGATCGAGCTTGTGTATCTTCACGTCGAGTATCTATTCGAAATTTTAGTCAAATACATATAGCACGAATATTAAGTTGTATGACAATTATCATTTGGTTTATAGCAACTATACATATACCTATTATGAATACAATAGAATTAGATTATTGTATTATGCCTGGTACATATAGTCTAATTTTTAGTATTTATGCACTTATCTTTGCAGGTATTATTCCTCCAGTATTAATGAGTATATTTAGTTTAATTACATTATATAATTTACATTCAATTCATGTTCGTATTTCTACTACAAGTACACAAGTAAATCATCGTATACGTCAACGTGATTTTCATTTAATTCGTATGTTAACAGCACAAGTTTTTGTTTATATATTAACAACAACACCATATCCAATAAATACTGTTTATGCTGCAGTGACAGCTCGTACTAATAAAAGTATGGATCGACAAGCTATTGAATCATTTATTTATTTTATTACAAGTTCATTTCTTCTTTTTATTAATCCAGCAGTATCATTTTATATTTATATTGCAACAACAAAAGCATTTCGAAAAGAATTAAAATTAGCGTGGATAAATCTTCGTCAAAAGATCTTTTCTAGACGACAAGAAGAAAGTAAATAAGTTCAACAATACCACCAAAATCTATTCCAGACAATTAAAATTCACTTTTTACATTATTTTAAACTTTCTTTTTATTAAAATGACGATCTATCGTATATAGAGATTCATAAAGATTTCGGTCGTTTTATTTTCCTGAGAAAATGAGAAATGCAACTGCATTGATATGCAATAAAATCTCAAACGACTATTTAATTGATTTCTTTTCAATAATAGATTACCTACATACAACAATCATTAATAAGTAAATTTGAATTTCAATGGACACAATCAATTTTTTTCTATAGTTATTCTCCTTTACATGTATTCACACAAAGCTGAATTAATATAGAAGTTTAAACAAAAAAAAACAGACGAAGCAAGCAGTGAAACAAAAGAATCATAGATTCCCTAAATACATAAACAATAATTAAACGTGATTCATTCAATTTTTTGTTTTCCACGTCGTACACTTGTTTTGAGGTGATCTCTTGTTCGGCGAACTTCGGTTCTAATTAGTTGTTTTTGATCACGATAAAGTTCTTTCAATGAATCACCTTGTGGTGCTCGTTTGAGAAGCCCACGTTTAAGAAATGTACGAGATATATATGTTGTTACACCTAATGTAAAAGCATATCGAACAGGTGTTAAAAACTTATAGAGTAATAAAGCTGTTGCTAATAAACGAACACGTTCTCCCGTCCAATAAGCATTCAAACTATTAAGACGTTCTTGTGAGATAAAAGGAATTCTTGATATAATTCCTGAAACGGAATACTCATTCATATGACGTATAAATGATAAACGTCGTTCTGAACTAATTACATTAATGTGTGTAAGACCATCTATAATATACATTCCTATATGAAGAAAATAAAAAAGCAACGAATTATGATAGATCTGAGTTTATTTATTTTCATACCTAAATCAAAACCGTTAAAATGAAGTGCAATTAGACCAGCACACCAAGCCCATGATGAAACAAAATGGACAGCTAATAAAATTTTTCCATATTTTGAATATGCATGACGAAATCGAGCAAATATACTGGATTGTGATTGCGTAGGTTTTGATACATTTGGATCGATAGGTGGTCGAGGTGGAATATAATCTGGTGGATGCCGTGGATTGACTGGTGGTTGTGGAAGAGTTTCAGGTATATTTTTCTTTATTTTAAAGAAAGATGGAAATGAAATTAATCGTTGAGGAGTTGCTTGTTTTATAGGAATAAGTTGTCGTTGTCGAATCAATAGATGACATACACCAATTAATGGTCGAGATGATGAACGACATAAATGCCACATTTCGTTCTAAATCTAAAGTAGAAAAAAATACGATCATAATGAATTTTATACAATATTCCTAATACAGTATCTTTATCACACACTATTCTCTTTATTTCATAGTTTACTTCCTTACGTACTCATTCTACTTCGAAAAATATCTCTGCTCATTAGTTGTATACTACAGCTGACGATAAAATATCTAGGAATATAAAAACAAAACATAATCAAAATACAGTAATTATTTAATGAAAAAAAAACATCAGATTAACATCCGTAAGTGTTAGTCAACAAAGAATAGGAACATCATATAGAATTAAGAAATATTTGACGAAGAAGACAATAATAACAATGGATTAACAAGTTGTGAACCAAATAGTTCTGTTTCTGTTGAGAATAATGCTTGTGGCTGATTATTTGCTAAGGAATTTGATAGGAAATTCAATCCTAAATGATTTTTATGTTGTCTTTTAGAACGTGCTGTTGAATTCGTATCATCAGCATCCATTGAAGCTGTTGAAGAATCAGAATTTGTTCGTTGTCTTTCAAATTTTGTAGTTGGTAAAACAGGAGTCAATGGTTGTGTTAATTGTTCAACAGGAGATTCACTTGATCCTTCAGTTGGACTATCTTCATGAGCATCTTGCCTTAAAATTTCATCTAATTCAAATATTGGACGCATATAAACAGCAATCTGTTTCAATCGTTGTTGATAACTATAAAGAACTCAATAGACTTTGATTTGATGATAAAATTAAAATATCTTACGTTGCTTCAAATGTTTGTTGTAGATGTTCGAAATAATGTTTTCTTTCTAATGTCGCTGCTTGTTGTGCACGTAATTCACGACGTGTACCTAATTTATTAATGGTAGCTGCACGTGCATCATATTCAAGTAGATTTAAACGTTTCTGTTTAGCTTCAGTTAAACGTAATTCACTTTGATCAAGTTCTTGACGTAATTGTATTATTTGTTCATTCATACGTTTACTTTTCGAAGCATAACATAATTGTTCACGTTCATCCATAAGATAAGTTGTTTGAAAAAGACGATGTGAATGTTCAATAGAATAAAGTGAAGAAAGTAATTTTTCGATAACTAAACTATTATCATCCGAATTTGGTGATATATCAAATATATATTTATTGAATGTTTTCATTAATGTTAATATACGTCGATCATCAATACCTTGATCACCTTCATAAAGAAGACGTGAACGTATTATATCATCTTCAGTTATTTCATGTTGACGTTCAGTCTAAAAAAAGGAAATAAACATTAAAAGATACATTGATTATATTTTTTGATCATATAAACCTTAAGTTTTTCTATAGTTGGCTCTTTTTTAATTTGTTTCGATGGTGTAGGAGATGATATTGGTGAAGGTTGTTGGACAATTTGTACCTTTCGTTTTATTGACGAAACATTAGCAGAAGATTTTGTTGACATTATCTATTTATTTATCTAGAAAAAGATATTTTTTTTGTTAAAAATTTATTAGAATATGTGCTAATGTAGATGCGAAGCTAGTACTATTAGATTAAACAACATGAATACCGGCTGTTTTTCCTTTTGCACATTTAATACTGCTAATAAATGAAAGAAATGTTGCTGTACCAGTAACAGCACCGACTTGTGCTGGATTTGTTCGAGTAGTTTTTAAATGAAAACCTAATTTTTTATTTTCACCGAGAATAGTTTCTGGTCCATTCAATTCAATTTCAACAATATGTCGATCATCTAATGATGAATCAGCAACCAAACATCCTTGAACATTATCAAAACCAAGATTAGTAGCAATGATTGCTCCAACAGCCATTGTATTGACATTATTTGGTGCTAATGAACATATTTCACGAACTGGACCTGAATAAATAATTATTTCACCTTTTTGATCACCAAGTTTTTTTCGTTCTTCAATTAATTTTGAATGTAATGGTTCATTAAGTTTATAAGAATCCGGATGTTTCTTCATTGTAATACTTAATGAACGAAGTGTATTTCGTTCATTCATTTTAGCTATATCTTCTGCACCCCAAAAAGCACCCGTACCCACATAGACAACATGACCTGTTTCTTGAGTTTTCTTTCTCAATAAGTTTTCAACAGATGCACGAGCAAGAGCTGTTGGTGATCCAATTATTAGATCTGCTACATCAAGTATTTTTTCAGCATATGTTTCGACAATAATTGGATGTGCTACTTCAATAACTAAGTCTGGTGAACGTTGTAAACCTTCTTCTACAGTTGCAACAATTAATTTTTGATCAAGTTCTTTATCATAATTTGTAAAAATATCTTTTGATCGATTCCAAATAAAAACGACTTCAAAATTAGATGTCGATTTTTTACGTTCATTTTCAAAATGTGAATAAATAAATTGTCCAAGAGAACCAAAACCAAGTATACCAATACGTACAGGTTGGCTTTGCATATTACTCTGCTTGAATAAATAAAAAGGATTGATAAAAAAATAAAGAAAATATCTGACACGATTGATTGAGTAACGATAGAAAAAAAGGATAGTGCAATGTATTCATTTGTTACAAATCTTCATAGAAAACAATTGGTCTGTATTTATTAATCAATAGAAAATTAGAATATTTCCTCTTGATTGTAAAACATATTGTTTAGCACCATCTATCGTTGGTCAATTAATCTTCATTGGTTAATTTTTTCATTTTCATTTATGTTCTATTACCTATCCATCTTCAGTTGTTGTTGATCATTAATAACTGTTAATCTTATTTACTAAACGTTGATTGTAAACTTTATGAATTAGAGTTCAATCAACAATTTACAAACATGTAAAATTTTATTTGAAAAATATTTCTTTTTCATGATTTATATGATTTATAGGGCTCCACCTCGTTTTCCTGGTCATCATCCCCATTTTTCTCAACATCATCATTCAACTTCTACTGGACAAACATCCAGCACACTTAATTCGTCTATTGTACCTGTTCAACCTGGTAAAAATGATTTTAAATTGAATTGCAAATCTAATTTGTTTTTTTTTCCTAATAGGTGAAATCGGTTTCGATGGCAAAATGTTACGTAAAGCAATGGCTCGTAAAACAGTCGATTATAATCCATCAATTATACGTTATCTTGAAGTATAAATTTTGTTATTTTTTTGTTTCTTTATGAAAATTTTATCATTTAGAATTCGATTTGGCAACGAAATATAACTGATGCACGATCATTACAACCTGATGTTTTATATATTCCAAATCTTGTTCCACCACATAATCTTCTATCAAATCCTGTGAATTGTGTTATGACAAAATTTATTCGACCAGCAACAAATAAAGTTCGATGTCCAATATTTTGTGTTTGTTGGACACCTGATGGTCGTCGTTTAATAACAGGTGCATCAAGTGGAGAATTTACATTATGGAATGGATTAACATTTAATTTTGAAACTATTTTACAAGCACATGATTCAGCTGTACGTGCAATGATTTGGTCGAATAATGAACAGTGGATGTTAACTGGTGATCACAATGGCTTTGTTAAATATTGGCAATCAAATATGAATAATGTTAAAGTATATCAAGCACATAATGATCCAGTGAGAGGTTTAACGTTTTCTCCAAATGATAGCAAATTTGCTAGTTGTTCCGATGATAGTTTTATTCGTATATTCGATTTTATGACTGGTCAAGAAGAACGTGAATTACGAGGTCATGGATGTGATGTTAAATGTGTTGATTGGCATCCAGATAAAGGTTTACTTGTTTCTGGCAGTAAAGATTCTCAACAACCGATTATATTATGGGATCCAAAAAGTGGAAAAAAATTAGCAACACTGTAAATTAATATTTGTTCATTGATATAGAATAAAAAATCTCTTTTTATTAATTTAGTCATGCTCATAAAAATACATGTATGGCATTAAAATGGAATCGTCATAATGGAAATTGGTTAATATCCGCATCACGTGATCATTTTTGTAAATTATTTGATATAAGAAATCTTAAAGAAGAAGTTCAATGTTTTCGTGGACACAAAAAAGAAGCATGCAGTAAGCTTTTTTTATTTGTTTATTATTGTTTACAAATAAAGATTATAACAAACTGTATTTGCTTAATATTGTTTCTTTTTGAAAAAAAACAAAATAATAAAAAAAAAAGAATCTCGTCATCTAATAAATGTATATATAAAACTAAAATAATAAAATAAATATAAAATGAATTTTATTGTATTAATATTAGTTTTTGTTTTAATTTATATTATAAAAATAAATGAAAAAATTTATTTTAAAGATAAATATTTATTTTATTAAATAATTTATTTTGTTTTCTATTCGTATTCTAGCATTGGCATGGCATCCCGTACACGAGCGTCTATTTTCAAGTGGAGGATCCGATGGTTCGATTTACTTTTGGCATGTCGGGTATGCTGACTTTACTTTTTAAATTAATCCTATAAATTTTGTATATTATAGAACAGAAAAAGAATTAGCAGGTATGGATGATGCACATGAAGGTATGATATGGGATATGTCATGGCATCCTCTTGGTCACATGCTTGTTAGTGGTTCAAATGATCATACAACCCGATTTTGGACACGTAATCGACCTGGTGATACTGTACTTGAACGTAGTGAAGAAGGCTTATTATTACATGCCACACGTCTTGAACAATTACATCGTGAAGAATTAGAACATGAACGTTCAGAGGAAATGAATATGCCAGGTTTAGGTTTTGAAGGTGGTTTACTAGAACAATTACAACAACAAGGTAAATTTATTTTGAAAACTAAATAGAAAAACTTTGTATTTTATGTAGATGAGATCACTACTCGACGTGAAGCTGGTATTCCTGGCCTAGATTATTCAAATGATGATGAAGAAAGTAGACGACGACGTGTATGTTCTTTTTTTGTTTGTTTTCTTAATACATCTATGAATATTGATGTTTATAGGTACCGTTTGCTAAACCTGTACCTAAACCATTTGAAAAAGCATGGCGTTCTGTTGATCCATATCCTGGTGATAGTAATAATAGGATGACAAGTAAGTTATTTATATTTCGATTTTGTCAATAAGAGTTTCGTATATTTAAATTTATTTTAGATTCACTCGATCCTGATGATTCATTCTATGTAAGTATTTATTCAGTTCTTTTTTTATATCTTATATATAAATAATTGTAGCCTCAATCAGCTCCTCAACCACCAAATTTTCCGCGTGGATCACTTTCTATGCTCGATGATTATTCTCGAGGTGGTGGACCACCAGATTTTGATAATCGTGGTGGTGGTAGCGGTGGCGGTGGAGGTGGTGGTGGTGGCGGTCCTTCGATAAAACGACAACGTCTTGATATTCTCAATGATGGTCATTGGGCAAGTGCACCAACAGATAGACGAGGAAATAATTTTCAATCTAATCCTTCTCAACCACCTCATTGGCGACCGAATCCTAATGATCTACAATCAAATTCTGGTAACATGGTCGATGAAACACTTGATGATACATTGGCTGCTGCTCGACATGGTGTTTCCCCATTTTTTCAAACAGCAACAGACGAAGAAATGCGTGGATTTAATCAAACATTGAGAGTATTTCAAAAGTGATTTCTGTATCTGTATTTACTAACAGAGTGTGTGTTTGTTTCATGATTTTTTTTGTGGTCTTTATTATTGTTGTTATATTATTTGTACACAAGATAGAAAAAGAAACGAAATTAATCTTCAATTTTCTTTTTTATTATATATATATACATATACATATACAAATATTATTATTCAGAGAATGAATATGACATAAGATTTCTCATTTTTTTCATTTTGTTTATCATTTCATTTGAGAAATTTTTCCATTAGGTGTTATTAGAAAATGCATAGCCATCGAATATTACTTTCATCTTATATTGGTAGAAAATTTTATACAATAACTTCTACTCTTCGATATTCTTCATCGTCAAATACAACGGTTAATATTAGCCATGTTGATGATACACCATCAGTTCGTCTAATTGGAATAAATCGTCCAACGAAACGAAATTGTGTTAACCATTCAACAGCACTTCAACTTTTATCAGCTTTTAAAAATTTTGAAAATGATGATACAGCTCGTATAGCTATTTTATATGGTGAAGGTGGTTCTGCATTTTGTGCTGGTTATGATTTAAGCGAAGTTGCATCATCAAAAATTTCTGTACCCATGGATTATAATAAAAATGAACCTGGACCTATGGGACCAAGTCGTATGAGCTTGAAAAAACCATTAATAGCTGCTATTGCTGGACCATGTGTTGCTGGTGGTCTAGAATTATCTCTTCTAGCAGATATGCGTGTCGGTGAACAATCATCAAAATATGGTGTCTTATGTCGTCGTTTTGGTGTTCCACTTATTGATGGTGGTACTGTTCGTTTACCACGTCTTATTGGTCTTTCACGAGCACTTGATTTAATTTTAACTGGTCGAACAGTACATGCACAAGAAGCATTTAATATTGGATTAATTAATCGTCTTGTACCTGATGGTCAATGTTTATCTGAAGCTATTCAACTTGCAAAAGATATACTTCGATTTCCTTATGAATGTATGAACACTGATCGACTTTCAGCACATTTTTCTGTTTCAAATACAGTTGATGATAGTCTTGAACATGAATATCTATATGGAAGACAATTAATTGAACGTGAATCAATTCCAGGTGCAAAACATTTTATTGAACAGAAACAAGGACGAGGAGGAAAATATGATGATGTTAAATGAACGATTTTTTTTAAACTGTAATTCTTATGATTAAAGATTAAAAAGTACATCTAATAGATTAATAATAACCAAATTACGTTTATCTTTTTCAGAAATATGCATCAAGTTTATAGGCTAAATTTCTTATAAGACGATAATGAGTTCTTGGTCCAATATTAATTGTATTTTTTACATCTTTCCATAGAAAACGTGGTTGTTCAAGATGACTAAGTTGTTCATTGTGAAGACATGGTATACATGTTGTAAATTGATGATCATAATCTAAGAGATATTCAATGGATAATTCTATCCAGGCATTATCTGTATTACGAGTATCATCAAAATAAGCACCTTTCCATGATACTGGAGTTTGTTCAAATAAATGATTTAATCCAATAAGTGATGATGAAATCTTTTTTTCATTATTGAAGATCACACCTTAGATAATATGGAATAGATAAAACGAAATGAAATATATATAATTTAATTTAACCTGTATGAATAATAAAACGTTTTAAACGATCTTGTAATTGGGGTGGAAATCGATAACCTAATACATGTAAACCACCTGTTAGAATAAAATCATTTGTTTCATAACCATCTGTTTGTATTTCTAAGAGAATTTCAAGGATTTTTTTTCCATTTGATGGATGTAAAATAATTCTTCCTTGAATATCTCGTTTCCATCGACATATGATAATATAATGATAGATATTTGGACCCCATCTAAGAAGAATACCACGTCCTTGTATACCTGTACGACCAATTGGATTTAATGGAAGACCATTATATTTATTTATATGATAATGATGATAGACACTACGACGATCGATAGTACCATCAATAGTATTGAAATGAAGTGAAATAGAAGAAGGAGATTTTAATAAATCTAAAAATTATTATTCTAAAAACAAATATATTTATTTGTTTTGTTTATACCAAGATCTGCATTTGGATTGATATGAACTTCTTCAGCTGTAAATATAATCGGTTTGTATTGCGACCATTCATATGACCAAGGTACTTGAATATCATTAAGTTGTGTTCGAAATATATTTTTAAACAGAGGATAAGGATTTAATCTTGCTCGATGATGAATTCGTTGTTTTTTACCAATATAATCATCATCATCATCTAATCTATTATGTAATGTCAGTGAATGTTCACTTTGAATATGACCAGTTCGATAATTATTAATATTGATATCTTGAGTAGGAGTATTTGAATTTAGTGGTGTTCTGAATTGAGAAGAGATAGCTGTTATACAAGCCTGGGTAACGGTATCACGTATTGTATCCAAACATTGACGCATAAAATCTTGAAACCATTCTAAATTATTTTCAGTAATATTCTGAGTGCTGACCAATCTTTTAGATATCATTTCTAAAATAGAATAGATGTATAAAATAAGACAAAATTAAATTGAATTTGTATGATTCTACCATTCCGTTTTTGTGTTTGAAACACGTGATAATCATTATTATTTCGTTGTTTTTTGTTAGTATTCTCTTCTTTATCATATGTTCTTTGAGTGTCTTTCGATGAAGATCTTTTCCGAGAAGAATATTGTCGATACGATGTTGCTGCAAGTATTTGTGCAACTGATTCACTGAATTCAAGTTGAATTATTGAATTTGATTTTGAATCTTCTATTTGATCTTGTTTATTAGAATGATTCGTTATGGATGTCATATTAAATGAGAAAAAAAAATTGGCTAAGAAAAAGCTAGGAAATGAAAATTTTGAATTTATATTGTCAAGGAGATTCTTATGTAGTTGATAATAAATAAACTAGATTGCGCATTGATAAGTTTCAAGTTTTATCTATTTCCTTTGTCTTACATATCAAAATTTGTTATTATATTTCGTGATTACCTAGAAAATAAGAGATAATTGCTTAAAAGAAATATCATCACAACAATTAAAACAAGTTCTCAATATTTTAGATCGTGTCGGTGATGTCGAAATCCCAAAACGAATGATTGAAATTTTAGGAGAAGATATCTATGTAAAATATTGTGCACAAATTCAAATTTTAAAATTTCACGAAGATTCTTTATTTACTCGACAATAATCATTTCAATATTGTATTTATTTTATTTTATAATCATGATAAATATATTTACGATTGTTAATATTGAATACAATCTTTATTTTTGTTAGAAATTGCCATTATAATGCAATAGAAGTTTTGTATAAGATATAACTACATGTTGTTTTTGGTCATCATATATTTATATCACATTGCTGTTTGTCTTACACAGTTTTGTATTGACTTAATGATGTCAACAATAAATATTATTAATCTATATTTATAATTAAAACGAATTTGAAAAGAAAACATCAATGATTCAATATTTTAATTTGACTGTTTTTTTCATATAAGTTCAAATGGTTAAACAGGAACCAGTTTTATTTTAAGCAAGTGAATATCGATAAGGAAGTTTATGAGTAGATCTCATAAAAGGAACTAAACGAAAATTATGTAACTGGTAATCATTCAGTTGATCTAATGAATTCGTATGCAAGATTGTTAATATCTAGTTATAATATGTATTATCATTATTTTTTCGTTCAGTGTATTACATATGTATATATATGCTCAACTTGCTTAATCAACTAGATGTAACACAAGTTAAATTCATATGCAAAAATGCGATGTAAAGCTTTTTCGATTATTACGAAAATAATAAATTATATTATTTCTATCGAATAAGATCTACAATTATAAGGCGTATGATCGTTTTTCTCAAAGTATTGAGTTTATTCATGTTTTTTTTTCATGAACATTTGGTCAAGTTCTTTTTGTAAGAATATGAACTCGTCACATTCACAAATAGTTTTAAAACAAAGAGGAAGATGTCTTTTGATTTTAAAATATCTGTAGTTCTACAACATCTATTTTAATTTTCTAGCAAATATAGAGCTTTGCATTATTTACATTGGTATATGTTCTATCATGTTAGTAACAGTATCGAAACTATTCTGAAAATATTCAACTAATGATTTCCTTTTCAATTATTTATTTCAATCAGTTAATAGACCTTGAAAGAAAATTCAAAGGGGACATCATGAATTTTGCTGCTATCGTAGTCAAGGAGGAAAAAGTGCGTATCTTGAGAGCCACTCTGATCAGTCGGGATCTCCTTTCTACGTTGATTGAAAATTATTGTAAAGTTTATCGATTTTTGATATAATATAACTATTTACAGCTAGGCAAATAAATAACACAACTAGATACGATACTACTTTTGAATGTATACAGAACATTTTTAAAATACAAGTTTTATTATTTACAAGACAGCTCTATGGTGAGAGTATGGATAATCATTTATCCTCCACCCACACCCTCAAAAATCTGAAAAGAATTACATAGATATTTCGAATTTCTTAAAATTCAAACATGACTCTTGATAGGAAAGAAAAAGAGATTCTTGCCTGATCTTCAAGATCAACATCACGTGATGTCTTTGTATACATGTGTCTATATATACCAACTACTATACTTTATTTATTTATTTTTAAACAAACAATACTTGAGTCGCATTCCAAAAGTAAGTAAGTCAGAATATTTAAGAAGATAATATACATATATTGATTCATCTCATTATATCAAACTATAGCTGGTTTTAAAATTTTTGGATGACTATTTGAGCAACAAATATGAAGAAGGCGAATCTTAGTAATAAGTATCAGTTCTTAATATAAATATAATATTTGAACTAATTTTCTATTGTAACTTTCATGTAAATAAAATGGTTTTAATATTTTTCTTTCTTTATTTTTATGTAAATACATTATTTTTAATATTTATTGGTTGTTAAATAAACGTGTTAGATGCAAGAAAAAAAAGAAATCAGGAAAGAATCTTGTCTGATTATTAAGAAAATCAAAAATTTGGAAAGACGAGAGGCAAAATAGTAGACTATTGACGAAGAGAGAGAAAGCAAAAAAAAATAGAATTCGCGGAAAGAATTGTTTCTTTTTCTTTCCCGATTCTATCGGTTAAAAAGTGTCAGCTACACATTAGCATACCGAAGTAATTGCACCAACATCGGTAATACAAACTTAGAAAGAAGAAATAAATAAAATAAAGTAGCGTGTTGGCTTCCTTATGTTTGATTGTTTCCAAAGTCATAAATTACTACTTTTCTGTAGTTTCTTTTTCTTTCTTTATTATATTTTACAAGCGTGTTCTCAATAGTCACTTGACAGTGTTTGTCTTCTCATAGCGACAAAAAAACACCAACATTGCGTGCCAAAGAAAAATTAAGAAAAACTAAATCATTGTCTACATAAACTCATACTGTAATCGCTATTTTTATTCGAACCATTACACTCATTTACAAGTTTACATTCAGCGTCTAGCTATAACTCACACCAATATGGCTGCACGAAAATCACAGGAAAATTTTAGCTCAACCTTCAGTTCAGGCGTATCTAATACAACTGCTGCAACAACAGCGCCAACAACATGTCAGAATATGGCTCAAAACTATCTGTTAGTTTGGGCAGATGCAAGCATCGATGAAACCAACAAGGACTGTCAAAATACGTTGATACAGTTACGAGCTGTGGTCAACGATATTACTATGTGCACTGAACCCAACGAATGTATCGAATTTTTCGATAAATTCAAGGACGAAACAAGTTTCCTCATCACATCAGGATCCTTGGGGCAACATTTAGTTCCTGAAATCCATGGCATACCAAAATTAGATGCCATTTACATATTTTGTGACAATATATCTTATCATCAACAATGGACTGAGAACTGGAAAAAGATCAAGGGTGTTTATAACAATATCAAGGACATCTGTGACGCTTTAAAGGGAGGTGTCAAACAAGTCAATCAAGATTCAATTTCTGTTAGCTTTTTCGCAGAAAATGACGATGTATCCGCTGAAAACCTAAACCAATTGGAACCCAGTTATATGTACACACAAATATTCAAGGAGATTCTCCTTGAAATGGAACATGAACACAACCAAGCCGTCAAGATCTTAGCGATGTATTACCGCAAATTTTATCATGACAATATGACTAAATTAAACATTATTGAAGAATTTGAACATGACTATCGCAAAGAAAAGGCAATTTGGTGGTATACACGTGATTGTTTTACCTATCAAATGCTCAATTGTGCACTTCGAACATTAGATGCCAATACAATTATTAATATGGGATTTTTTATTCATGATCTCCATCAACAAATTAAGGAACTACATGAACAACAACTTTCAAACTATCATAATAAGCCTTTTGTAGTTTATCGAGGACAAGGTCTGTCGAAAACTGATTTTGATAAACTCAAAAACACAAACGGTGGTCTCATGTCTTTTAACAACTTTTTATCCACCAGCGATGATCAAGATGTTTCCTTCGCGTTCGCCGAGAGTGCTTTAGCAAATACAGATATGGTGGGAATACTTTTTATAATAACTATTGATCCTCGTGTTTCATCAACACCATTTGCCTCTGTTAAGGAGGTTAGTTATTTCAAAACAGAAGAAGAAATACTCTTCTCCATGCACGCCGTGTTTCGAATAGGTGCAATTAAACAAATGGGCAATAATGATCAACTTTTTCAGGTAGAACTTCAACTAACTGCTGATGATGACGAACAACTTCAGCGACTTACTGAATGTATAAGCGAAGAGATTGGAGGTAATACTGGATGGGAACGATTGGGTAACTTATTACTTAAAACAGGTCATTTCGATGAAGCTGAAGAACTATATAAAGTACTATTTAAGCAACCATCAAGTGAGAATAATAAAGCAGTTTATTACAATCAGCTTGGATATGTAAAACATCGTCAAGGTAATTATGAACAGGCTATTGATTATTACACAAAAACATGTGAAATCTTTGAAAAAAATCTTCCTGCAAATCACCCTTCGTTCGCTAATGCTTACAACAACGTTGGTAGTGTGTATGATAACATGGGGGAGTACTCGAAAGCACTCTCATTTTACGAAAAAACACGTCAACTATTAGAAAAAACTCTTCCTGCAAATTACCCTGACTTGGCTACTTCTTACAACAACATTGGTAGCGTGTATGATAACCTGGGAGACTACGTGAAAGCACTTTCATTTTACGAGAAGGCACTTGGAATTCAAGAAAAAGCTCTTCCTGAAAATCACCCTTCGTTGACTGCTTCCTACAACAACATTGGTAGTGTATATGTTCATATGAAAGAATACTTGAAAGCACTTCCATTTCACGAAAAGGTACTTAGAATTTCTGAAAAAACTCTTCCTGCAAATCATCCTGACTTGGCTACTTCTTACAACAACATTGGGACTGTGTATTATAACACGGAAGAGTACTCGAAAGCACTTTCATTTTACGAAAAAACACTTGGAATTCAAGAAAAAAAACTTCCTCGAAACCATCCTCATTTGGCTATTTCCTACGACAACATCGGTAGTGTATATGATAACGTAGGAGAACACTCGAAAGCACTTCCGTTTTACGAAAAAACACTTGGAATTCGAGAGAAAACTCTTCCTGCAAACGATCCTTTGTTGGCTACTTCCTATAACAACATTGGTTTGGTGTATTACAACATGGGAGAGTACTCGAAAGCACTCTCATTTTACAAAAAAACACGTAGAATCTTAGAAACAACTCTTCCTGCAAATGATTCTTTGTTGGCTACTTTGTACAACAACATTGGTAGTGTGTATGATAGCATGGGAAAGTACTCGAAAGCACTTTCATATTTTGAACGTGCTTGAAAAATTCGCTAAGTTTTTTTGCAGCCAAATCATTGTAATCTTAAAACTGTAAAAGAGAGAATTAAAATTATAAAAAAGAAATTATAGTTTCTTTTATGAATAAATAAAAGAATGTCTTCTTTATGCAAAAGAAAAATGATTGTACTTGTTTTATTTACTCACTCGCACGTACAAAGAATATCTGCAATTAATTGAGAAGTAATGAGTGTGAATATGGGTTTAGGAGTATTCTCTTTATGTAACTTCCTCATCCTGCTACCTACATCCACAACCACACCCACACCCACATCTAAACCCTCAACCGCACCTACACCGATTTATATTTATTTTTATTTTTATAATTGAAGTACTTAAATTAATTTTTCAGTTATTAGTATGTTCCTTTAAATCAGTTACTGGAAAATAAAAGTCGAGAGTAGTCGACTGAGTCATCTTATTTTATTAAAACATAGGCCAGGTTAGTTTTCAGTTTACTATAATATTAGTTAAAGGATAAACAAATAGCATAGCAAATAGAGCTCTCTTTTATATTTCAGAACACGTAGAAAAAAACGTTTGTTATAAAAGCTTTTCATATCGTTGTCAGGTATTATTGCTACTACATTCGGTGAGCCCACGGAGTTCTATTGAGGATAATAATTGTGCGTTTCGATATAATGTTTTTTTAGATTTCTAATATTCATTAATGCTTGAACAAGAGGGTGATTGCTGTCTAATGCAGTAACTATCTTTTCAAATGCGGGACAAGCTAATAATGAAAAAGGTGGTAAATGTTCTGCTAAAATATTTTCGTCAATTTTACCAAGCTGATAATCTTTGTTTTCGATTAGAAATCTTGATAATTTTCTTATAATTCTTGCATTCGTGGTGGTTTGCTTGTCTGATCTTGCCATAAGTCTCGAATAATAGATAAAGGTTAGTCGAAAACCTGATAATGCGCCAATTACATACGGTAAGACTGGATCGTTTTTATCTTTTTCTGTGAGATAGCCTCTCAAATAAGTAGATCCTTTATTTTCTACAATACCGTAATCCATTTCGACGAGCTGTGTGTAACCGCAGCAAACATTGGGATTTACGTAATTGAAAAATAAATCTATTAATCGCCAACGCATGGTCAAATTTCTGTACTGGTAACACCATCCCAGAAAAATTCCAAAAAATGAATACTTTCCTACACAAATCATGTGAGGTTTCTTGTCAAATATTATATCATCACAAGTTCCTTTGGGAGACACTTTCATTATTCCGTGGTCAGGTGACCATATTTCTGTTTTGTTTTCCAAAAATTTATCCAATGATTGTTTCATCTCGTCCTTGAACTTTACAATTTTATCATAAATATCTTTCGATTCATCAGGCTTTGCATATTTGTACAACTCTTTATTCTCAACATAAGTATACCAAAATTTATTGAATTCTTCAGGTAATGGAGAAAACTTGTAATACTTGTTTAAATATTCATTTACAATTCTTTCTGTTTCAGGTGTTTTGATAATATCACATTGAATATCTATATCTCCAGTTATATTTTCGGCCAAAGATTAAATTTTCTGATCATTTTTTTCTAACAAGAAGTCATAACTGGCGTTCGCTACAGAACCTATCACGTAAGGTACATTGATCCAAGCCCCTATAGGTTTTACGTATGCTTTACGTATCTATTCATTTTCACCAGGTGGAATATATTCTCTTTCAACCTTTGATATATTTGATCCATCTGGTTGTAATGTGCTTCTTATATAAAAGTGTTTATTAGTTAAATGTGAGTTTTCCAAATGTTCACATTTTATGTCCATTTTCATCTTCTTTAAACCAAATATAATTTCGGGTAACATATACAAACCCTTGAGAACTAATGTGGTACAGTTGGGAGTTAATATTTTATAGCCTAACTTATGTTGAGGTTCTATATCATCCGCGAATTGCATTGGATACGGTGCAGTTTCATCGTGTTTCGCTACACTATTAGGACTTATTTTCGAGGATACATTGTGAGTGTGCTTATTGGCGTATAAAATGCAACTCCAACAGCATTTATCTGTATGTATCGCGGCGTTAATCATATTGTTTAAGTATAGATATTCTGAGAAATTTGCAGCTTCACACATAGTTTCAGTTGTCGTAAATTCTGAAACGATTTTGCACCCGCGATAAATTGCATACGTTTCCATTTTATTGTATGAGTTCTACTTTTGGAAATCTGAAATATATTTTAAATTTTAAATTTTGAATTTTTGTAATTATGTAAAACGCTACTCAGACTATCTAAGGTGGGTGTAAGCAAAGCATTACGATATACTCACACTCTTATACTCTTGTCTCATTTTCGAATGTTCTGTTGAAAATGTAGAAAAGGAATCCTCATAATAGGATTATCAAATTTATTAATATTAGATTCCAACAAGAAGGTGAACAGGTGACACTAGCAAATGAGTGATCGATTTCCTATCACTTAGTCAGTCAACATATAACGTATGCCAATATCAATTTCATCTCCACCGTGAAAAACATTTTTTATGCAACACGATTTAACTTAAATACTTCAGAAGATGGCAAGAAATATAATCCCTTATTCACTGATCTGACAGACAAAGTGACAAAATCGAAGTGTATTACAATTGAGTTGTAAATCACGATTAAAATTATACAGCGAAAAAGTTGAAATGTATGCTTCTCGTAATTTTACTTCCTTCTTGACGTGCAAGTGTCTGATATGATATGTGAGATAGAACTTGGGAATAAAATGCTTATTGTTCTTATTGGTTTTCATTTCTTGTGATATATTACAATCGCCATCTTCTTCTATCATGGATACAAACTGATAGTGAATAGTAACTGATCAATGAAATTGTCTCAACACGTGTTATAGAACTACTAGAACCTGACAGTATTTGCAATCAAAGATGAGTGTTATATTTCAATGCAGTAGATATGAACCATTTTTTGCGAATGATAATATTAAACTGTGCCCTTTCATTGCAACGAAACGATCTATTTGCCTAGAACATCGAAAAGATATGTAAACTTTTTACTATGAAGTCATCTAGCATCATTTCATTCCTTATTTTATTTTCACAGACTCACCTCAATCTTCTTTGGTTTTGCTTGAAAAAGTGATGAATTGTTGTATCAACGTAACTTTATATATGCACCACCATAGAGAACACTCAAATCGCTTCTTCGCGGAAAAAGCGAGATTCGGCAGCGTCGCCTACTGTTGAATATTGTTGCTGCATTAGATTAATTTTATTTTCGCGTTCTGTTTGCATCGATAAAAAAGCATTTGTTCGATTCTCCAACATCGCTTTGTTTACATAGGACACTGGCAAGGATGATGCTATTGCCGGAGAAAACATAAAACTTATTAAAAGTTTTCGTAGTGACTATTTTCACCGAAAGATGCACGTCTGTCTTGTTTTCAGACAAGTGGGGATTAGTTATAAAACAACGTTATGCAGCATAATATGATAGAACATAGTACTGTATTTTCAGTGGTGGCTGTTCTCAACATATACTAATGATTGCTTGGAAGGGTGAGTGTTGGTGATTGTGTTTTCTCTACTCACATCCACACCCACTCCTCGATTTATGTCCTACAGCGAATGAAAAATAAAAGAAAGGCTAAATTAGTACATATACATGTAGAATTTGGTTAATATTTTTGCGAAGCGTAAGAAGCAGTCAATTGTCAGAGGTTCATTTTGCGTGCTGTTGCAGTTGTATTGGTTGTTGTGGATTTTTCACCTTCGGTTTGAACATCCATTTGAAGTATTTCTTTCCAATAACTGTCTCACCAAACTCCTTCTTATAACCACTTGAAGGCAAAACGAAGAGGACAAAACCAAGCGTTTGTGGGACATACGAGAGTAAATAAGCGACAAGAAGAGCATGTTTCTGCCAAACATTCAACTGCGTACAAGCTAGAGTGAAGGAAATAATGATTTGAGGTAAAGCGGATAAGACAATGATAGCCGGTATCAGATAGAGTTCTTTGTGCATAGTGAACTGTTTCTGCAATACTTGTCCAAATGTCGTCTTTCCGCCATTCGTTTTTGTTCGTCTTCGAGCAATTTGTATAATTAAGATTGTGATTGCTATCGCTTGAATCAAGAATGGGATGATGTGGTGCAAAAGTGTGCTCACTCGATCATAATTAGCCAAAATACTCTGTTGAAAATTAGTTACACAGACTGAAGCAGAAGAATTCGGCTGACGAATGATGTCATAAGCGAGAATCTCGTGAGTGTGCAGACTGAATAGAGCAAGAATAGTGATTATACTTATGTAGATACCAATTGAAGCATTTTTGACAGTGGTGCTCGTGGGAAACCAGACCATGAAAAGACGATTAATGGTAATCCAACTTGTTAGCCAATAGGATGAGCGAGTGATGGTAGACAGCATAAAACCCACGAGCTTGCATGACGTAGCCGTTGTCCATCCCAATGTACCAAACAGGATGTGGATAAACTTGAAAAAAAGTCCAAGAAGAGCACATTGATTGAGGATGGTGAGAACAAATAAGTAGTTACCAACTCTGACTTTGCGTGGCTCTTTCCGTTTGAAAGTAAGAAGAGAGCAGAAATTGTTGAGAAAACCAATAGTGAAAATAAGAAAGGTCAGTACAATGTAGATTACTTGAGTTGTTGTAGACTGCGAGGTAAGAAGAAAGTCGAGTGTGAATCCGAAAGCTCGGACGCTAAATTCGCACAGACGTCCTTGGTAGCAGTGTGGACACAAGCAAATGAAGTCTTGAGAATTTGTCGGATTTCCCTTGATACATTTTCCACCTGATAAACAAAAGTCACAGCGGTCTAGTACGCGATCATATATGTAACACATGGCGCGGCCGTCAGCCGGTTGGCAAAGACAAAAATAAGTGCTGTCGTAAAAACATAAGCGATGTTTATCATTATAGCAAATCTGATGATATTTGAAGAGGGCAGGTACTTTTGATGTCTCATCTGAAACCAGAAAGAGTGTATGGGTGGAAATTTCGCTCAAAATGCAAATAACTTACTTATAGGCAGTAGTGATATGGCATTTGGACACACTCTAGGCGTTGAAGTGAGATTGATAAGTGCACTATCCAATTGAATGTAGAGCACGTAGTATTGAGGGTCTGCAAAACCTTCGTAAGTTTTTAGCAGACTCACAATCGGAGCCTTTTCTTGGTCATGATAATAACGTATGGTTAGCGGCAGTCCACCAGTGATCATCTGATGTCGTAATGTGAGTATAGACCATGAAGGCTGGCCCGAGTCGTAAAACTGAATGACACTAACACTTGGTGTTAAAGTCATGTTCACATCAATTGCAACCGCGACTTTCTCATACTGACATCGATCGCCATAGAACTGTTTTGAGCATTGACAAATGATTGGTTTGTCGCCAGTTGGATCGTTCGTTAAATGACAAGTTCCATTCAAGCCGCAAGGATCTGATTTACATGCTTCATTTCGTATATGACAACTAGGACCAAAATAGTCGAGAGAACATATGCATAACGGATTATCTGGATTTTTAATGAGACCACGTTGACCAGGTCGACAAATGGAATCTGGTGAACAATATGAAGAACATTTTTGTTCATATACAGTGCAGTTCATATCTGTGTAACCTGATCTACACGAACAATAGAACTTTCCTTCTTCGTTTAGAATAGGTTTACAGATAGAATTTGCACTACATGGCTTTTGAGCGCATGGATCGATCGTAGAATTTCCAAACCAAGACGGAAACTTCAACACCGTTGCGAGACGAAAAGCCGGAAGGTAATCAAAGTAGATTATGTATCGAAATGATCCTAACTCGATTGTGTCATTACTTTGGAGCGCATAAACATCGAAATATACCGAATAAGGATGATCATAAATAACATCCGTACGGTTCAAATAACGTCGCCGTTTATGCTCTAACATCGTTACTGAACGAGAATAGAGAAGGTAAAAACGTTGCTTGACATAGTTCTCTGTTTCTAATATTGGATTTACATAAAAAACATGATGATCGATATATTTTGTTTGGCGAAACACTAAGCTTGCAACAATCTTGAATAGACTTGAAGAAAGGAGCAGTGTAGAAGTGAGAGTACTCAGATCGAGATGCGTGATGATAGTAAGACGGTCTGAGAAAAATTGGCAATGACTACCGTAGTAGGCAGGTGGACAAAAACAATGCGCGTCAGGCCCAGCTCTTTTAGCGATGCCTCGATTGCAGCCAAATACCAGCCAACGAAGTGTAACATCTTGTTTTTGTCGATATTCGCGCGTGTTAAGCACTGTAGGTAGCCGATATTTAGTTTCTGCAACTGCCAATACTGATTTTTTCCGTTGCTGAATTGTGGGAATAACCGTTGGAAACGTTGGTAGTCCGAAAAAGACTGTAGCCCGTTTGATTTGTCGATATTTTACTCTGTGTGGCAAATTATTATAGTATGGATGACACCAGTATTCATCTTCTCCATGCAAACATTGTTTGATCCCGTCGCATCGTGCCTTTTTGACACACGTTTTATTCAGACAAATCACATCGTTCTTATCAGAACAGGTTGCATTCTTGCTTTTGTATGAGCAGAGTAATGAATTCGAACATGTTGGATCAGTTTCACAAGCAAACCCGTTAAAACTGCAAGAATTATTACATCGCAATGTGTACCCGAGCATATTGCCATTACAATCTTCTTCTGTATTTTTTTCGTCCACAGCTCCATAGCAATCGACAATTCCGTCACCGATCTGATTGAGATTGATGCATGGCCGATAAGTATCAATATCCAGTGGGTTGGAAACCGACGCTAAATAACATGGATACTTTGTTGACAAATTGCACAAATCTGAGAAAGGCATCTTTGACTCAGAGTATCTATCAATGCATTCTTGCTTTTGTTCATCCAAATTTGGTAGACGTTGGTTATGCAAAGACCATTCTTTGATCAAAAATATCGCTTCTTCGTCGGATCCATCACTACAATCCCATACTCCATCACATACCCAAGCCTGATTGATGCATTGACCTGATAGGCATCGGTACTCTTCATAATTGCAAATCCATTCTTGACAAAAATCTCTGCTTTCGTCCAGGTGCGATGTGTGGTCCCAGAAACTGTCACAATAACGATTGTGTTCAGTGACTAATACATTCTCCATAGTATTGTTTGCTATATCGATCTCTAGTGTTGAATTCGGATTAGATGAATTGCCAATATAGTATCTCAGGAAAAGACATCCACTATCGTCTTCTCTATGGCAAGGAATATGTCCTACTAGTTTAGTGCTACCCGCGACAAACATATCATTTTTGTTTTTACAGTTGGAGACTATTGTGGCAAGGCTCGATGCAGTTAAACAATTCATTTCTTCTACTGAACATTGAAAGCGATGTTTTTGAAGGTTGAGACAATAATTTGTTTGTTTAACTACTTGAAAGTTCTCGTCTTTCGCATCTGCACAATCTTGATGGCCATCCGTAATGCGATACTGCGAGATACATTCACTTGTATTTGTACAAATATCATAAAATGCGTACGAATGGTTGTTAAAAGTTTGCGTATCATTCCAACAATTTACTGGATACTGCGGGGCTGACTCAGTTTCCGTTAATGTATCGGGCCAATGCGAAAGTGAACAGAATTCAGATTCAATCTTACCCACAATGACTAGTTCGGGCTGGTACCCCAGCTCTATAGAATTTTTTGATACGATACGATATCCCCGACATTTGATGCTTCCATTCATTTTGAACCTGTCTGGGGTTGGATCTATCCATGTTCGATTCCAATGGTAATAATGACGTAACCATGGAAAAATCATCCCTTCAGACGGATAAGAATACATCTGATCTTTTAGACAGAAGCGTTGCATCACTTCGGTGCAATTGATTCCATTACATGGGCAACTAAACTCTAAACCACCAGATAGTGCACATCGAATCAAGTAAATACATTTGTCATTGTCTGACATATTTACCATCCCCATATTCATCAATGTATCATTATATTTACCATCTGTACTGAACCAGCAAAGTCCATCGGGCTTCGTCCATAGTTTGAAGGACGGGTTTGAACTGCTTTCACACATGTGATTGTATTCGCGCATAGTGTTACATGACAAATTATGTGGAAAAAATGTTTGATACACATGTCGGATAAAAGGAACAATGCACTGTCCATCGCCACACGACCATTGATCGCTAGTACATATATGTTCATCACATTCGATAAACTTCGCATTAGTAAAACAACTGACACCATGCTCGAATAGCTCGTCGCTCCAGTCCATACAATCCGGAACTCCTAGAACGAATGATCGTCAAATTAGCCAAAAGTTAAAGAATTACAGTAGTTCTTATTCTCATCATCACCCTTGCTCTAACCTATCAATTTTCTATGACATAGATCATCAGTATATATATGGCCGATGAATCAGCTTTATGCCTCTTTTTTATATTAAAAAAGATAAATAACTATTTAAAACTAGAAATTTTCGCTCCAACAATTGAGTTTCTCCAACAAAATATTTTATTTTTATTTTCACAAGTGATCTTAATTGTTCATGTGATAACTTCTATGATATTAATTAGAGTTAGAAATACCCGCGCATTGTATGTTGGATATTTTTCAAACATATTCATATATATTGTATCTTAGCTTCTTTCAATTCTCTCATTTAGTTATATATGTATATGTTTGTACCACCTTCGTTTTTGTCATATTTTCCAATTGTTATCATTCCACCTCTCCTCATATAGAAATAAATCAAACTCATGCACACATGCACTGAATTAACATGAATACTGATATTTCTCAAACTTATGTACTTACCATCAAGCCAGTACTCTTCATCGATGCACATGCCATTTAGACAACGATATTCATTAGACTCGCATTCGTTGAATTCCAGCTTGTCACAATTTTCTTCATCATAGCCATCCATACAATTTTGTTGGCCATCACATATGTTGCGCCAGTCTAAGCAAAGCATCCCATAATTGCAAATTAATAATGTCTGATAGCACCAAATTGATCCAAACAACTGATGACCTCGGAGATCGTGTTTATATTGGAATGTATCGATGATAGCATTCTTGAATGAGTTATAATTAAAAACCAACTTGAATTCGCAGTTTTTTCCAAATGATCCATCGATCGTACAATTGCATAAGAACCTGTCGGAGACATCAATTATCGATTGATTGTAGAAAACACGACCATATTCATCGGCTTTCTCGACACTTGAACTCCACGAAAGCACTTGC